GTTGCATTATGATACATCTGGTCATCATCAGCTTGGAGAAAAAGTATGTATCTGTGGCTTTTGAGCTTTATTGTACTATAGTTTTTTATTATAATTTGCTCTTTTGAGAGCTCAGGAATACACCTGCTGTTTTATCAGCCAAAAACTGGAGATTGGCCAGCTGACGAGAGAACTGATCTGCATATTTCCAATTTTAGGTTTAAAATTCAATCTCAGAGGAGAACATAACCAGAAATGGGTTTTGAAGAACAAGACTGTTAATAGTTATACAGAGACACATGACCGCAAAAGGAATTTCAGTTGATACAAGTTGCTGGGTATATACTTCTGTAATCTGAAGTTACTAGGTAGAAACAAATTAAACTGTTGGCTTACAATATCACAGAATCAGAAGGTACTCGTGTTTGTTGAATCCAATATTGAGTTGGTTCTAAAGAACCTCCAAAGATAGCAGATACTAGTTAAACCTAGTATCTGCTATCTAGTGGAATGTTGAGTATCCATGATGTAAAATAAATAAGTAAGAGTTTCCCGATTGTTACTTTTCTACATATAAATGTTATGTAGAAATAACCTTTATTTTTCCAATTTCTTTTTTGAGACACAAGTGGGTGTAGGGGGGAATCTTGAACAGATTTTTTTATTTTAAGCTCAGACAGCCAAAAATGCAGGAGTCAGATTCGAAAAGTTCCATGAGAGAAATAATACTTATTTTGATCCAAGCATTCAAGAACCTATTAACAAAGATACTAGCACACAACAACACAATTAGATTTCATTACAGACAAGCTGCTCTGATTATTACCCTCAGTTTTGAAGATAATTAATACTTTTGTTTAGGTAAGTAAACAGTACCCTAATCAAGGTACTACCAACTCAGACAATAAAACAGTAAACAATACCTTAATCAAGGAGCCACCATCACTGTCCCACCAACACTGATAGCACAAGCCGTACTCCCTTTCACATTGATAATGTTACTTAGTTCAGTAATGAACATCTGCAAGAAAACAACCAAGCGTCAAAGACCTCACAGTTCAACCCTGAGCTACAAATATTCTCGTCTATTGAAGACAATGCACCTTTTGTCAAACTGCACTTGGAACTTCATGGGCTGCCAGCGCTGATAGCAATACTTTTCTCTCACTACAAGCTTTGATGGATGTTGTTATGAATGATTAATAAGATCCAGAAACAGTAGAAGTATATGCGTCTCATTGAAATATTGGGCGAATTGAGATTATTTATATTCAGATGTGCACCCAATGATAACCATTATTTCTAATGGGATGTTTGTTCTACTGTGCTTCAAATGCACCTCACCATTAATACTCTGCCACATTTGTGCAAACTAGGTCATGATGGAAAAGGTCCTTCTTCCTCACCCTGCACCTTATCCACTTGTAAAGAGCTCCCCATCCTTTCAAAATAAGATGTGAACTATTTTCAAAGGAGATTAAGTTTTATAATGAGTGAGTCAGCTCAGCCATCCTACTAAACTGAATAAGAGATAGATCTGCCAAGAATGTACCAGGGTCTGGATAGAGCAGAACAATCTGAAGTTGAAACCAGGAAAGGCAATTCTGTTTGTCCATTAAAGTTGTGCTGACACCAGTCTTGTCTTCTAATGTGAAGGCATTATCTTGAAGGAGGACTTCTGCTGAAACACTAGTGAGAAGACATGACTAAATGGGCCTTTGCCTGGCTTCAGCTGGTATACCAGTTGTGGCCTTCCCTAGTGCAAGAGAACCTTGCTACATAACTCATGTCATCATTGCCATCTGGTAAGGCTACTGCAGCATTATCTATATAGAACTACCTTCAACTTCTATCTGGAAACTGCAATAAATGTAAAATGCAATGGTCCCTGTATTAGCTTACACAGGAGCATGTTATCCTTGAGCTGCTGGTGACTTCAAGCTGCAATTACAGGGCTGGGTTTGACACATCAAGCCCATTACAGTTCAGTACCCGAGTACTTGCAGGATTGTTAATTTCAACTCGAATAGAACCAACCCATAAGGTCACTGAGAATGAACTGCTTGTAATTAATTCTCCATTTTTGAAAATCAAAATGAGTTGAAGTTAAAAGGTGTTGCTTTTCAGTAGCAATGCTGGCCTCCTGAAAGTCTCCCAATTGAAATCAGGCTGACCTTCTCGCTGATTGCATTCCATTTATGTCAGAGTTTGTTTCATAAAGTATTTTAGCTTAGATCTGACATCCATTTAATTGAATAGGTGAGTTTTTAATGATATAATTTTGCTTAATTGTTTTCATTTTATACTATGGATATTTTGATGATGTTTTATATTGTGTAAACTGCCAAGTTTTATTTTTAGCAACAGGACAAAAACACAATAAATAGCAAAGTGCAGTGGGGGATCTAGTAATAATGGGTGTGTTACTAGTCCACTCTGCAAATGGACCTTTGTGTTATCATATTCCTGAAAATGGACTTTGTTACTCAAAAGTATTGCTGAGCATAGCCTTGCAGCTAGAGATAACAGTAATTGTAAATTTTGCACAATGTGTGCATTTTCAACTGTTTTTAAATCCCTATAAAGACCTGACTAAAGAGCTGATCTTCAGCCCATCTTAAATACCACTGAAGTCTTGGCAAACATTACAGTATATACAGTTTTGAAATTCAGCATTCATACTGAACCTCAGTTTTGACCTTTAGTTGGGCCTTTTCTCCGCTGTATTCTTGTTTCTCCTGATACTTTCCTTGACAAATAGCAGGCTTTGTTCTTTGCACATTGAAGACCATAATAACAGCATGAAGAAATAACAATGGGAAGCTGTAATGATAAATCAAAGTGTCTCTATACACACTCGCTTTGCCAGCTTGAGTGAAATGTGCTAGATTGTCTTTCATAGATGTGCGCAAAGTGAAACTTTCAACAAAATAATCAGCCCAGATGGTAGGAGTATTGACCAGACAGGTCTGAGCTTGAAATATGACTGTCACTGATCAGTGCAACTCAAATAAAGCAATGTAGTCTATTGGAACTAAGAAGCATGCCTTTTTCAAACACACACACACACACACACACACACACACACACACAAACACACACACACACACACTGCCCAGGGTAATTTGGAGTGTACAGATCTTAAAGTATATAAGTAAACAAGCTGAATACTTTTCCATTCCCCCAGATCACAGATTACCAAAGAAGCTTTTCAGCATGATATAAGGAAATTCTTGTGTCTCTGTGTGTGTGCTCTCTTCAAAATAAAATCAGTCTTATCTTTTAGATGTTTCTGTAGAAAGAAAGGCAGCAACAGAAAATAATACTGTACAGCAGGGGTGTCAAACTCAAGGCCTGCCCCACGGGGTGCTTAGATCTGGCTGGTGAGGCCACCCTGGAAACAGTGAAGAACCAGCCCACAGTGCCTCTGCCAGTGAAAATAGAATTCAGGAGGGCTGCAGGTGGCTCTCCTGAGCTCTATTTTCACTGGCAGAGAGTTACAGGAAGCCATTGCAACCAAAAACCGAGCTTGGAAGCCCATTTTCAAGCTAGCCACGCCCACCCTGACCATAACCACCCTAGCCCCCCCAAGGCCCAACACAACCCTGACAGCCCTCAATGAAATTGAATTTCACATCCCTGCTGCACAGCATGTATAAACTGCATCAATCTGACCAAATCCACTGTGTTTTCTGCTGCATCTGTAAAAAACACAGCATTAAAACATTTAGTGAAAGAGACTCCATTTGTATTTCCACTTGTATTTCCAACATTCACTTCCACCCCATCAATTCATTCTGTTTTGTGAGTACACAATTATAATTAACCAAATGAGGAAAATGACCTCAGTGTCAAGGAGATTTAAACTAGAAAATGTGTTTTGTTTTGTTTTTTGTTTTTTCTGTGGTATTTTTTATTTATTTTTTGCCAAATATGAAGGAAGTATTGGAATTACCTTTGCAGCTCTGCCATCTGCAACTCAGGCAGACAGCTGAGTTCCTAGAGGGCTGCTGTCAGGTGAGCTGAAATGAACAGAGGGAGACAAAATGCTCTCTTGAATATGGAAAAGTATTGTGAAATGTGAACAAACATGCAGAGAATGCCATAAAGAGTTATTAGCTTGTAGTCCCCAAACAGGTAGAGGATGTGTTTGACAGCTCAGTGACCCCAATTCCCAAATAATCTGTAGGGAAACTGGATTCGCAATGCTGTCATGTATCAGTAATACTTGCATCAATTTATTTGTTACTTCTTGCAAGATAGGGTAGTATTTGCCAGGAAATGGAGGTTAGCTGCATTTCCACTAGCATTTAGTCTGAGCTTTAAGTCCACTTTTCAAAAATTCTTCATATATATGTTATACAGAACGAATTCAGATGTAGTAATTCTGGTAATACAAAGTGGACAATTTTAGATGTAACTATGCAGAAACAAAGGATTGAAAACTGCTGTTTTGTCCATGCAACACAGTTTCCAAACTCAGGGGGAAAAATGAATATTTTTTTATGATTAATTATCCTAGGAACTTTTCTGAGCTTCAACATTAATGTCAGCCAGTTTATGGGAGACAGCTTAATTATGGGCAACTAGCAAGAAAAACCTCTGTAATTGACTTATTATATTAAAAAAGAATGACAGGAATTGATAGAGTAGTATGGATTTCATCATGATATAATATCTGAACTGAGAGATTAAAAACAGAATGATAAATGATTTCCCCAAGGGGCTTAAGAGAAATGTTTCTCTATGGTTTACGCAGAAATTAAGTTTATCTCATTTTGAGTTTGGTATTGTGTATCTACTGGTGCCATCCTATGTTTCTGTGGTAGCATTTGGACTCTTCCTATGAATTGGCATCACAGTATATTTTACCCATAAAAGTTAAAAATACTATAAGATTTTACAAGATTCAAATCATAATGATGATAGGTGGTGGTGACATAGCTTAGCATCTATGCAGCACTAGTTGTCAAAGAACACAGTGTTCTCTAGTTAATCCATATATTTTGTTCTCTTGTTAGATGAAACAACCTTTGAAGCAGGAGTCAAAGTCCAGATCCACAGTCAGTCTGAGCCGCCATTTGTTCAAGAACTTGGGTTTGGTGTAGCACCTGGTTTCCAAACTTTTGTTGCCATGCAAGAACAAAGGGTAAGTTATTTTTCTCAGGTAGGTTAGGTACCTGCCTGCTTTATTTAACATAGAAAGAGAAGAAAAGCTTCCTTGGTTGGATGGTTGGATGACATCCTTAACAAAAGCACACTGATCTTGAACTTGGGTCTCATCTGTTGACTTTTGAGAATGGGTTGAGAATTATGATGAAGACAAAAAAAAAGATCATAGCTACAGAAGAAACTTGAATTGGATTTATAATAGTTTAATTTATACTTCCAAGAATCCTAAGAATTGCCATTTTATAAGAATTTCCAGAATTCTGTGGCCTGATTCATTCTGAATCATTCACAGAAAGAAGTGTGTGGGGAAAAAATATTTTAAATTGGTTTCCAAGAAAAGGGTTTCTGCATGTGAGGTTTAAACTGCATATCAGTCTGTCTTGTGCAATTTATATGAATGTGAGATTACCATTGAAAAAATATCACAAAAAACACCATTCTGAATTACTTCTACTATACAGTCTGGCATTGTTGCATAACCTACAGCTTTTTCAAATGTAAGCATAGACTTACATAGACTCTTACTTGAGATCAAGAAGAAGCCAAGGTTTTGCCAACACATTGATTAATTAACTCTTTCAGCAGAGCTTGCCCTTATTTTTATTTGCTTATAAATAAATGTACAGTGTTAGGGTTTGGGGATTAACCCCTAGAAGAGTATTGCAGCAGTAGT